ACGGCACGGGAACCAGGGGCCGCCCCAGGACGTGCTGCTCCCGCCTGTGCCCAGCGCCTCACACACAGATACCTGCAGCAGCTGCTGTAGCCCTTCCAGCTCCTTTCTGCCCTGCTGCTCCGTCAAGTCCAGCTGCTGCTTCAAGGACTGGATTTCTCTTTCTTTCTGATCCACCTCCCATTTGAGATTTTCCATCTAAAGAGGGGAAAGTCACATGGCCAACAATATTGAAGCGGCTTTACTGCCCAGGAAAACAGCTCTAGCTGTGTGTCCGTTCATTTGATTTATTTTTTTTTTTGAGACGAAGTCTCGCCCTGTCGCCCATGGAAAACAGCTCTAGCTGTGTGTCGGTTCATTTGATTTATTTATTATTTTTTTTGAGACAGAGTCTCGCTCTATTGCCCAGGCTGGAGTGCAGTGGCGTGATCTCGGCTCACTGCAACCTCCGCCTCCCGGGTTCACCCCATTCTCCTGCCTTAGCCTCCCGAGTAGCTGGGACTACAGGCGCCCGCCACCATGCCCGGCTAATTTTTTGTGTTTTTAGTAGAGACGGGGTTTCACTGTGTTAGCCAGGATGGTTTCGATCTCCTGACCTCATGATCCGCCTGCCTCGGCCTCCCAAAGTGCTGGGATTACAGGCATGAGCCACCGTGCCCAGCCTGGTTTATCTTTTAATACCGTATTCAGAAAACCATCACTATTCCTCCCCACGTAGGACGGCGTGAAGTCACCCAGGACACCTGTGAGTCCAGCCCTGTGAGTCCAGCCCCGCAAGTCCAGCCCCCGCGAACCGTCACCTCTTGGTTTCCCACAGGCTGTTTGCTGAGCTGCTCGTCCAGCTGCTTCTGCAGGAGCTGGAGCTGCACCCGGGCCTCGGCCAGCTCTGCTTGGAACTGTGCTATCTCCTGGGAATGTTTCCCCTCCCGAATCCTAGCGTAAAAAAACAAGAAAGCAGGGAACTGCCGTGCTCCTCCAGCATGCCGTGCCCTCCTGCTGGGAAACGCTGCCTGGGGAAGGCATCCATCCCGGCAGGTGCTGCGAGCTGCAGCCATGCTTGGTGCCCCAATGTGCGCTCGGGCAGTCCTCACAAAGTGTCTGAGACTCACCCTTCGCCAGCTCCCCTCACGGATCCCAGAGACCACAGCGCCTGAGGCCCACAGAGCCACAGCGTCAGCCCCGCGCCGGGCCGCCCCTTCCCGCCTCGGACCTGAAGCTAAGTACTCGTGCTGGGCGCTCTCTCTCGGGGGAGGACACGGGGCAGTGAGCGAGGCTCAGGCTTCTGGAGACAGACGCTGGGTGCCCCCTACTCCTATGATTCACACTCAAGTACTCAGCAATTTGCAAAATATAGATGACCCTCGCTGTGCTGAAGGTGATGAATTAGACCCCACCCGTTGCCAGGACAGCCGTGTGTGAGGCCGGGCACTCACTGAAGGTCGTCGGCCTCAGCCTGCAGCTTCTGCACCAGGTGTTCCTTGGCCTGCAGCTCCTTCTTTACCTCACTCAGCTCCAAGGAGGCCGCCTTGAAGTGGCGGCGGTTGTGCCCGGCTTCCACCTTGGCAGCGGCCACCTAGGAGGAAGGAAATCACATTGTCCATACCCTGCAGCTTTACGACACGCTGGACGCAGTGGGTGAATCCACTCCCGGCCCCGTGCACGTCTTGGCTGCTGGCGTGTGCTTCTCCACAGGCCTGTCAAGGTCCTTGTAAAGATGAAACCACCTGACCCGGAGCTCGGCACACTCACGTGGCTGCTGCTGTCTGTTCAATGAACACGAACATTCATTCGAGAACATTCATTCACAAACATTCATTCAAGAGTTTTCGGTCTAAACAGTTTTTAGAGTCTTCTCCCAGTTTATTCACAGCCTGGACAACATAGCAAGACCATGTCTCCACAAAATATAAAAAACTCAGCAGGGCATAGTGGTCCCAGGTATTCAGGAGGCTGAGGTGGAAGGATCACTTGAGCTCAGGAGTTCTAGGCTGCAGGGAGCGTGATCGCGCCACTACACTCCAGCCAGGGTGACAGAGTGAGGTCCGGTCTCAAAAATAAAGTAAATAGGCCGGGCGCGGTGGCTCATGCCTGTAATCCCAGCACTTTGGGAGGCCGAGACGGACAGATCACGAGGTCAGGAGATGGAGACCATCCTGGCTAACACGGTGAAACCCCGTCTCTACTAAAAATACAAAAAATTAGCTGGGCTTGCTGGTGGGTGCCTGTAGTCCCAGCTACTCGGGAGGCTGAGGCAGGAGAATGGCTTGAACCCAGGAGGCAGAGGTTGCAGTGAGCCAAGATCACGCCACTGCACTCCAGCCTGGCAACAGATTGAGACTCTGTCTTTTAAAAAAAAAAAAAAAACACTGAAAAAAATTAAGTGAAACCTAAGCACAGAGTGAAAGCTGGAGAGCTGGGGCACTGTGTGAGCCCAGCCTGAACCACAGCCCAGCAGCAGGCCCCAGGCAAGGGTTAAACGGCTGGGCGGATGAGGCCTGTGAGGCCAAAAGAAAGCTGTTAACTGCTCCTATTAAAATACTCCTGCCACATTTTTTTTTTTTTTTTGAGACAGAGTTTCACTCTTGTTGCCCAGGCTGGAGTGCAACGGCGTGATCTCGGCTCACTGCAACCTCCGCCTCCTGGGTTCAAGCGATTCTCCTGCCTCAGCCTCCCAAGTAGCTGGGATTACAGGCATGTGCCACCATGCCAGTCTCATTTTGTATTTATAGTAGAGACAGGGTTTCTCCATGTTGGTCAGCCTGGTCTCGAACTCCCGACCTCAGGTGATCTGCCCGCCTCAGCCTCCCAGAGTGCTGGGATTACAGGCGTGAGTCACCATGCCCAGCCACCTGCCACATGTTAAAATTAATTCTATTTATAAGGAAACTTTATTGTTTCACCCCTTTTAAAAAAAAAAATCAAGAAGCTTTTTATTTTTATCTCAATTACATTATCATAGAAAAGTTCTTAAAGGCTGTGGCAAAGCCAGGTCATAGGCATGAAAGAAGCTTTACTGTTAGGCCAAAAAGTTTGAATTGTGAAGCAATTATAACTTCTAATTTTTTACAAGTTCAATTCAAACAGGATTTAAAGGAAAAGTGATGTGTTCTTTCCTGCCTTTCTCTAGAGAAAACCAGTTATTTCTTGTGTTCCTCCTAGAAATTTTCTACATATACATGAGCATCGAATGCACGCACACACACCACGTCCCAGGCACACACGTGCACGCACACACCCCACGTGCACACACAGGGCAAGCGTGCTGAGTAGCTGCTCTGTGCCAGGCATGGCAGAGGTAGCCAGCAAGCAGCGTTCTAACGGAGGAGCAGGGCCCAGACAGGGCACCTGGGGGTCAGGATGGGCCTCTGCTGGCAACTTGACCAATGTGTCAGTGAACACAGGTGAAGCAGGGCAGGGGCCAGCCATGAAAAGACAGCTCTCTACACAGAGAAGGGTCCACAGAACCACCCCTCGTCTGCTGAACACAAATGGGATCCTATGCTATTCTCAAGTTTGCTTTTTCAATGCAACAAGACACACAGGACACCGTTCCTAGCACAATATAAATACACATGCATGCGGAGCTCATTGGCCCCAGGTCCTCACGGCTGCACCGCCATTTAATCTAACACCACCTTCTAAGGACCAGACCAGGTGCTCTGCAGCCTCCATCACCAACAACTGCAACGCACCTTTGCTCTCTGTAACTGCTGGAAGGAGGCTGGTGTGTGAAGGACTCTGCATAGATTTCTAGGCACTGGAGCGTCCCCTGGAACGCCCTGTGAGCCAGAAAGTGGCACGCACCTGCTCCTTAAGGCTGTTCACCTTCTCCTTCTCCTTCTCTAGTGAGGCCTGCAGGGCCTGGACAAGCTGCTTCATCTGGCGATCCTCCTCTTCTTTGCGCTGCAAAACCGCCTGCACCTAGATCAGATTGCAGGACAGATAAGGACGTCAAATGGCAAACACACAAGGCTGCACACGTCACATCACAGGCGGAGGCACACGTCACATCACAGGCGCAGGCACACGCAGCGAGGCAGAGGAAACTCCACCTCTGAAGAATCTGTGACAAAAACAGAATCCTAGGTTGCGGGAGAACAACCACAGGGCCGCACTCAAGAACGTGGCACACCTGTGGGCCCCATGGCTCCAGAGGCTGGGGCAGAAGGATTGCTGAAGTCCAGTAGGTCGAGGCTGCAGTGAGCTGTGATGGTGCCACTGCACTCCCCTCCACTCTGGGCAAGAGCCAGACCCTGTCTCAAAAAAAAAAAAAAAGAAAGAATGGGCCGGGCACGGTGGCTCACGCCTGTAATCCCAGCACTTTGGGAGGCTGAGGCAGGTGGATCACCAGGTCAGGAAATCAAGACCATCCTGGCTAACATGGTGAAACCTCGTCTCTACTAAAAATATAAAAAATTAGCTGGGCGTGGTGGCGCGCGCCTGTAGTCCCAGCTATACCAGAGGCTGAGGCAGGGGAATCGCTTCAACTCGGGAGGCGGGAAGCCGAGATCCTGCCACTGCACTCCAGCCTGAGAGACAGAGTGAGCCTCTGTATTACGAACAACAACGAAAAAAAAAAGGAATGTGGTGGCTGGGAACCCAAAAATTACATATAAATCAGGGGTTGCGGCCAGGTACAAACAGAACGGAAGTGGTGGGAACTAGGGCAAAATATGGAACTAAGACGGGAGAGTCAACACCAGCAGCTTGATGTGGCCCCCAGGATTTCCCTGAAATGCCCCGCCTGGTCCTCAATCCAGAGAGGCTGTGGAGCCTGAGCAGCTGAGTGAGACCCAGGTCAGTGTTCGAGTCCCAGTTCTGAACTGCGTGAACCTCTCGTTAAGTGCCCCCTACATACAACGTCACCACCTGGGACTGGAACTCAGCCACACCCGCATGGGAGGTCTGCCCCTCAACTGAGCAGGCCTGCCTGTGAACTAAACAGGCCTGCCCCTCAATTAAACACGTCTGCCCCTCAACTAAACAGGTGAACTGAGCACACACAGGGGCTCCAGCCTCACCTCGGAGAGCCCAGCCCTGCACCAGCAGCCGGGGACCCAGGCGTGTGGGTCACCCAACCCCTGAGCCTGTTCTCTCGGCTGCAGGCCGGGTGGGCTAGGAGTCAGCACAGGTGACTGAATCTGGGTGAGAGTCTCGGAATGCACGCAGCCTCAGCAACTCTCACGCCGCTGCTGGCCTGAGTTTGACGAGTTTGAATACCTGAAGGTTCAACTGGACTAGGTCTGCCTCCCTCTTGGCCAAAGCTGTTTCTAGGATGCTGTTGTGTTCCCGCAGAGCTGCGTTGGACTGTCCAAGACCCGTAAGCTTCCCTTTCTCGTGCTCTAATTCGAGAGCCAACTTCTTGTTCGACTCCTCGAGGCGTTTTATCTTCTTCCTGAAGCCTCTGGATTCTTGAAGCTGAAACATACCAATGTCACCGTGAAATTACCCGCACTGGTGAGTGGAGTTCACACACCTCAGAAACAGGTGTTTTCAATAAGAAAAAGCAGACACTTAGGCCAGGCGTGGTGGCTCAGCCTGGAATCCCAGCACTTTGGGAGGCTGAGGTGGGGGGGATCACCTGAGGTGAGGAGTTCGAGACCAGCCTGGCCAACATGGTGAAACCCCGTCTCTACTGAAAATACAAAAACTAGCCACCGTCGTGGTGCACGCCTTTAGTCGCAGCTACTCAGGAGGCTGAGGCAGGAGAATCACTCGAACCCAAAAGAGGAGGTTGCACTGAGCTGAGATCGTGCCACTGCACTCCAGCCTGGGCAACA